AGGAACAGCTGAAGAGAAGGCTGGGTATCTTGCCGATGCGTTCGCCGCTGCTGTTAAGCCGCTGCTTAATCATGGGAAAGGAGCCAAAAGATCCTGCTCTAATGTACGCTGTTTCAATTGTGGTAAGATGGGGCATCTGCAGCGACAATGTCGTCAAGGTAGACCAGTACAGTCTAAAGGACTTAATGTAAGTCAGAAATTCTCTCCTACTCATGCAACCAGGTGTAGTCGTCATGATAAATTTGGTCATCGGAGTACAGATTGTCTTTCACGTTTTAGGAGGGATGGGACTCCTTTGGGAAACTTCAGTCAGAGCGCGAAATAGATACCCCGCGCGATGACAGCAAATCAGGGTGTCTGGACCACGTCGCCGCCGCCACAAGGGGAAGTGCCGGCGTGGACGTGGCAACAGCAATAGATTTTACTCTTACTGATACCTCTGTACATTGTATTCCATCTGTTCTCCAGGGTCCTTTAGGTCACAACCTCTGTGCGCTTTTACTTGGACGATCATCCACATCTCGAAAAAGAATTTTTGTATTACCGGGAGTTATTGACGTGGATTATACAGGTACAATTGGCATTATGGTACAAACATGCTCTCCACCTGTAAGTATTCCAAAAGATTCAAAAATTGCTCAACTAATACCATTTGAGGCAAAAGTGCCTAAAAGCGATCTGAGAATTAGAGGAAATCAAGGATGGGGATCTACATGTATCTATATGTATACTGCTGAGAAGAAATTATTATATTCAATCCAACCTCATATACTGTATCTGCAAATGTAAATATATACAATTTGACAGATTTCTCATTTTTTAAAAATAGTTTAATTGCTCTGGCCTACTAATGGACATAATTCCAAAATGGCAATCTAAAGATTTCATTACAATTGTTGATCTCCAGTCATCTATGAATATAAGCTGTAATTTAAAGCCCATGTGAATTCTTCAGTACTAGTTATATCATCCAGCTCTATAACAGCTTATCAGCCACTTTAAATGTACTTAAACCATTTTGTGTTTAAATTATATGCTTTTTCGTAGTTTCAGAGTTTGGGGTTTTTATTTATTTGTTTATTTATTTCATATTTCTTTTATACTGAGAAAAATTTACTGTAATTGGGATCAGTCATTGCATTTTACCAGCCCTGTCATCCTGGGAACCTGAGTCTGCCATGCAGGGTCAAGCAGAAGTTCATTTCACCTGCTGCCCTTCCTCTGATGTGATGATGTCTATAAAGGTGTCTCTACGAGCACATTTCTATTGCATTAAATGTCCCTTCCAACATATTTGCTGCTATTATTTTGGATCACTCTGTTATCCAAGGAATTCTTGATATCCGCAGAAATACTGGTACTTTAAAAAGTACTTTCCCCAGAGTTTTCTTTAGTCCCATTTCCATCTTTACTCTAGCTGAATATCTGTTTCTTCTCCCTGGAGGCTGCGGAGAGCACAGGTGCTTTTATCTCCCTTCGTTAAACCACTCACTTACTCCTATACTGTTATCTTGCCCCTTCTTAGTCCCCTTTCTCAGTAAAGAAAACCCAGGCCTTTTGAACACCACCACCATCAGAGATTTTCAATGGTCTTGAATGCATGCTACTAAAGCTGACTAGTGTTTTCCAGTCTGTATTAGCTACCCAACCCCCCTCGAAAATGCAGTTCTTTTAGGTCCCATTGAAATACCAGTCTCAATGCAAACAGCAGAGATACCACTGAGGTTTCTTCTGGCACATATCATACAGTCAAGGTAATACCTTGCAGGGGCACTTTGTGTGCATCCACTGACTGACCTTTCTCCATCACAGAATCACAGAATCACAGAATGGTTAGGGTTGGAAGGGACCTCTGGAGATCATCTAGTCCAACCCCCCTGACAGAGCAGGGTCACCTACAGCACGTTGCACAGGACAGCGTCCAGGCGGGTTTTGAATGTCTCCAGAGTGGGAGACTCCACCACCTCTCTGGGCAGCCTGTTCCAGTGCTCCACTACCCTCAAAGTAAAGAAGTTCCTTCTCATGTTAAGATGGAACTTCCTATGTTCAAGTTTATGCCCATTACCCCTCGTCCTATCACTGGGTGCCACTGAAAAAAGACTGCTCCCATCCCCCTGGCATCCTCCCATTAAGTATTTGTATGTATTAATAAGATCCCCCCTCAATCTTCTTTTCTCTAGACTAAAGAGACCCAAGTCCCTCAGCCTTTCCTCATAAGAAAGGTGCTCCAGTCCCCTAATCATCTTTGTTGCCCTTTGCTGGACCCTCTCCAGCAGTTCCCTGTCTTTCTTGAACTGGGGAGCCCAGAACTGGACACAGTACTCCAGATGCGGTCTCACCAGGGCAGAGTAGAGGGGGAGGATGACCTCCCTCGACCTGCTGGCCACACTCTTCTTGATGCACCCCAGGATGCCATTCGCCTTCTTGGCCGCCAGGGCACATTGCTGGCTCATGGTCATCCTGTTGTCCACCAGGACTCCCAGGTCCCTCTCCACAGAGCTGCTCTCCAGGGGGTCAGCCCCCAACCTGTACTGATTGGTCATATCAGACCTTCCTCTCTTTCCCCGTTTCCTCTACAAGGGCAGTGGTGTTGACCTTGTCTCTGCCAGAGCTGCCTGCTGCAGTCATCTCTCTTTTTATTTTAAAGCAAACAGCTAGGCACTTCCTGTCATTCTGCCCCTGGTGCTGCTGGGAAGAAACTCCCTTAAATGTCCATTTTTCTCCTGGAAGTCTCTCCTCCCTCCTCTCCTTTGTTGTGACTCATACTTGCTGAAGGTTACGCCATGAGTGTCTATGAAGAGCCATGCGTCTGGCCA